GCAGTTTGTCAAACTGGCGACAGGTCCGCTCAAAGAGCTTGGGGCATGTAGAAAGCAGGAGTCACAAAGAAATTAAGGAGCATTATGGCCCAGAGAGCCAGGAAACCCAGGCTGAGTTATCCCCACAGCAAAATGCAGCAGCAGGGGGAGCAGGGATGCAGAGTGGAGAGGCACAGTCAGGAAACTGACTTGGAGAGAAATATGCAAACTCACCGAGGAGATACTGGTATGGTTGGCCATCATGAGCCCACTGACCCGGTGGGCTGAGGGCAGGTAGGGAGACTTCCTTGACAGGGCCACCTGGATGCTGGCTGGGCCCCAGGGGATGAAATTGGCCAACTTCCGTTCACGGATCCTCTGCAGGCTCTTGTGGACCTGCGGTGGGCATGGGAGCGGTGATGGTAGCCACTCCTCTACCCTGTGGGTTCAGGGGACAGGGCAAAGAGGCCTCACTTACCTGGGTGGGGTCCACCTCTCCCTGGATGATGTTGAGGATGGCGATGTAGCAGTGGTTGGTCTGGCGGTCCCGGCCTGTGGACACCATCACGTTCTTGGGCTGCAGCAGCCGCCTCATGACATCCAGGACTGTGGTCTTCCTCACGCTGGCCACCTGAGGGGAAAGTGGGTCACAGAGACCAGGCTGGCATTCAAGGCATAGTCCAAAAGAGGAGCCAACACATGTCCCCATCCAACTCAGGATACTGTGATATATCTGTGGACAATGTCTCTAGGTTCAGGTCTACCCCAAGACTCTGAGGCAGGAGTAGGCTCTTAGCAAACTCATGCCCCTGTGCATGAGCAGAAGCCAACCCCATTCATCCCCGTGCCTGCAGGAGCCAAGGCTGAGGGAAGGTGGACACAAGTCAGTAGGCAAATGGCCTGCTTCCTGCCAGTCTCTGAGCAAGAGCCTTGGGGGGCTGCAAAGGATAGTTCTTGGGCAGAGGGGAGAAAAGAAAGTCAAAGTCAGTGTCTCTGGGCCCAGGCCAACCATGCCCGGGACACTGAAGGCTGCTCTTACTGACTGGTCTGTAGTGAGGGGGGTGTAACCGGTCATGAGGAAGTGGAGCCGTGGTGTGGGAATGAGCGAGGCGATGAGGCCGATGAGGTCGTTGTTCATGTAGCCGGGGTAGCGCAAGGTGGTGGTGCTGGCCGACATGATGGTGGACACCTGGGGATGGGGGTGTACATCATGGGTTTTGGCCCATGTGGGATCTCCCTTCCCAGATGGCCTTCCAGCAATGAGGGTTTCTGGTCCAATGGAGTCTAGGATGGGGCTCACCAGCTGGTTGATCTGGGAGAAGGATGGGTTCTGGATGTGGAGGCGGTCTGTGGCAATCAGGTTCAAGGCTGTATTATCTAGCACCACCTGGGGGACAGAAGAGATTGGCAGATTTTATGGAGGCAGGAATATCAGAAGCTCTGCCTGAGCCTAGGTTCTGAAGCTCTGAGTCTCATGGCTAGACTTTTCAAACTGGCGACAGGTGCTTTCTCACCCCAAAGGAACTTTCCCAGGCCTATGGTATAGGAGGGCCCTAAACAGACTTCCTGAATACATGAAAATGATTAAATAGACAGGGGCATCAGGAATGGGGACAGACAGAACCCCAGACTCACCACGCAGTCTGCGTTCTGGGTCAGCCTCTTGAGTGTGAGGAGTGAGTTGTATGGCTGGACCACTACATCACTCATTTCATCCTGATTGGGGAACACTGAGTATGTCTGCACCAGCTTCTTGGGGTACCTGGTAAGTTTGGGAGAAGAGGAAGAGAGCAACAGCTTAGAGGCTGGGTGAACATGGGCTTCCTCGGTTATTTGGAAACAGCTAAATCTAGATGGGGGAAATTATAGAGACCTGAGTTTTCAAAGTCCATATCCACAAAGAAGGAAGAGCCAATAGATATCCCAAAATCTAGGATTCCAACTCCAAACTTAGCGACATTCCCTGGACCTTCAATCAGAGGCCAGATTCTAGGCTCTGGTTCTGACCAATTGGAATGTGAAATGTTTCTCCATCACAACTTCACTTTCCCTATTATAGGAGGCAATAGAAGGGCTTTTTCCTTCTCATGTAAGTAGGGTGATATGTCTGCTGGGCCTCCCAGTCAGTTAAGAAATCAACTTTAAGTTCATGTCTCTCTTAGCCCCCAAACAGAGACTTACCTGTCATTCAGTCGCTCTAAGAGGTAAGAGCCCAGGCCAGAGCCTGTCCCCCCAGCAATAGAGTGACAAAGCACAAAGCCCTGCATAAGAAATTGACAGTCAGTGTCTATGTATATAATAGCAGGATTTCAAACTAGACCCATCTCACAATTTTTTGGACTCCCTGTCTTTCTTATGTTCTTCTTTCTCTTCCTGTCCCCTCACACATACAGCTTAGGAGACCTTAACTTGTCTTCAAAGATGCTAGTAGCAGTGCAAGGGGTAAATGGATTGATATCATGCCTAGATTCTACAGGGGTGTTGCCAAGTCTTCCACGTGTATAGCCCCACTAGCATTTCTGATATACTTACCTCTAGACTGTCACTGCCATCTGCCTCCCGGTCTATGATGTCAAAAATGTCCTCATGAATCTTCTCTCCCTGAACAGACATGGAGAGGATCAGTGTGGAACAAGACTATGAGACAAAAACTCTGAACTAAGAATACCCTTAATTTTCCTTATAGTACTGAAAGTCCTTTTGTGGAGCACAGCTGCTTTGCCTTTTATTTGCCGTGGTTATAAGCAAGCTTGGTGGTACTAAGGATTGAACCTGGGGCCTCATGAATATTAGGCAAGTGTTCTATCATTGTATATTTAGTTCTATATATCTGAGTGACTCTGGACAGATTACTTAATCTTTTTATGCCTCAGTTTTCTCATCTGCATAATGAAGGTAATAACACACATCTATATTCCCTTATCTAAAATTCTTGGGGCCAGTTTTGTTTTGGAGCTCAAAAGAATTTAATTAATTGATACTGGGATTGAACCCAGAGGCATTTTATCACTAAGCTATATCCCCAGCCCTTTTTAATTAATTTTGTTTTGAGACAGGGTCTTGCTAAATTGCTCAGCCTAGCCTCAAACTTTTTTTTTCCCTTTTTTTTTTTTTGCTACCAGGGATTGAACCCAGAGGTACTGAAACACTGAGTCATATCCCCAGCCCTTTTATATTTTATTTAGACATAGAGTTGCTTACGGCTTCACTAAGTTGCTGAGGCTAGCTTTGAACCCACTATCCTCCTGCTTAGCCTCCTAATAAACCACACCCGGCATGGCCTCAAACTTTCAATCTTCCTGCCTCAGGAAGACGGCAAGCCATCTGAGTAGCTGGGATTAACAGGAGTGTGCTCCTATGGCTGGCAACATATCAGATTTTAGGCAGTTTGAGACATATAATGTATATTAAATAAAACCTCATGGGGGTCTGAGGTGCATTAATCAAATACCTTAATATATCAGCAATGATAAGTTTGGGTAATGACATTAAGTTGGATAGAAAATATAAAATATCCAATCTCCACTAAAATTTGGTTTTACTGCTAAATACAACATGAAATGTTTTTTAGCTTCAGAACTTTTTGGAAGGGCAGGTAACAGATTGGTGACCTGTAGTATCTACCTCTAGGGTTGAGAGGTTTAAATAAGTTAAAATGTGTAAAGCACTTAGAATGGCCTGGTACACAACACTAGCTATTGCAGGTTCTTAACAACATTATAAATTTAACTCTAGGCAAGCACCACCTCTCGCTCTCCAGCATTCACATCACTGATCTGGTTTAATCTCTCTCTAGGAAGTCACAGGCCCTGTCCCCACACAGGGAGTTGTGGGCCCAGCCAGGGAATAGGAAATGACCTGGGAGAATCCACTCGCCCAGTTGTTGCCAGCTCCCCCTCCATGCTCCGATAGGTAGATGTTCTCTGGGTTGTAAAGCTTGGCATAGGAGGAGTTGAGGATGGAATGGATCACCCGGGGCTCCAGATCCAACAGCACTGCTCGCGGGATGTAATGTTCATCATCTGCCTATCAAGGGGAATCCAGGTTCAATCAGCTAGGTGGGCCAAGTCCTGAGTTCTCCCAATCACTGGCTCTGCTAATCCTCCCTCCTCAAGCCAGCCGCCCTGGCTATTCTGTCCACAGGGTTTCCCAGTACCAAGACACTGCCCTTCCCTTCAGGTCCCCTGGGCCACTGTTGGCGTTGACCAAGTCTCCAGGGGCACCTGGTAGAAAAAGACGTCCTTGCGGTCAGTGCCTTCGGTGGCGAACTCTTCCACGATGCCCTCAGGACTGATACCATGCTCGGCGCATAGTTGTTTCCAGAACTCGAACCCAACTGGGGGAGGAGGCAGGCGGGGTAAGAAAAAGGATATCTGGGTCTGGGCAAGATCCAATTAGCAGAAAGGGGACTGAGCTCGGGGGTTCAGGGATAAGAAGTGAAGGTTTAGGTCTCACTAGTGTGTGAGGAAAGGGCTGCATGCCAGTAACTGGGTAGGGGAGGGTCCCTTCGGTTGGACAACTGGACACTGGGTCAGGGATGTCCCGCCTTTCGGACAACTACGATTCTAGGAAGGACCGATGGAGCCTAGGATCCCACAGTGAGATCCCATCGAATCTAAAGAACCTGGGTAGCCGAGGGGCCGGAGGTTCGCTCACTCTGATTGCCGCACTGGCCCAACTGTAGGGTGATGATTTCCCTCGGCATCGCTCCTCAGGCACCAGCGTTGCACCCGCTACCGCCAGCAACGCCGCCGCTCGCCTGCCCGCTCGCCGGCCCGCTCGCCGCAAGACGCAGGCGCCAAACGACCCGCTCCACCCACGAGCTTTCTCCTTTCCAATGAGAATTGAGTTCTGGAGATGGTATTTCCTTATTCATTTGGCTTCAGTGGTGTGGATTGCGCGTGCGTGGTTTCGGATCGGATTCGGCGCCTCGGCACAGGGGACGTACTTTGACGCATTCTTCGCCTTATTTTCTATGCGCATGCGCGCAGCGGCGAGAGGCTGGCTGATTACGCATCTGCGCAGTTGGTGTTATTGTGACTATCGAGCCGCGGCCCCGGATGTTGTGGCTGCCGGGGGGGAGATGGCGGAGGCTGAGGGGGTGGCCGCGACCCCAGGCCCAGTTTCAGGGTCGGCTTTCAGGGGTCGCCCAGCTATGTCAGACTCCTGGGAGCGCGACCAACAAGTTGAGGCGGCGCAGCGGGCCCTGGTGGAGGTCCTGGGGCCTTACGAGCCTCTGCTGAGCCGGGTGCAGGCAGCCCTGGTGTGGGAGCGGCCAGCCAGGAGCGCCCTGTGGTGCCTGGGGCTGAACGCGGCTTTCTGGTGAGAGAATTGGACCCTCAGAAATCCTCCAAGGCGCGAATTAGTCAGGTTTCTCTAGGGTTGTACCTCTCGCCTGCCCTATTTTCTTCGCTGCAATGGCTCCTTCCTGTACCTGCCTAATTTTGCCTCACCTCCTTCCACTCCATCTCGCCTCCAGGCTTTGGTACCCTAGTTCTTCCCAGGACCTTCTAGCTGTCTTCTCTGCTTTATATGCGCCTGCACTCGCCCCACACTTCTGGCAGGAGATCTTGAACCGCTCGCAGTGAGCGAGGGCGCTTCTTGTTAGCCAGGGAACGCTGTTTCTCTTTAACCTCTCTTCTCTTGCCTGCTCAAGTGTGGCTTGAAGATTCTCTCCAGAGATTTTCGTAGCTCTTATGAGAGTAGAGGCTTAAGGTGTTAGCCATAGGTGTGATAAGAAAACAAGCTTGAGCGGTTAGCATGAATTAGCCTGTTACATATTCTCTCACCAGTGAAGAAGGTTGAAGTCTAAGCGTCAGTGTGAGTCTCCAAGAAAATTATAAGTTTTTAAGTAACAGTTATGAAATAGTGATTGTGAGATTTCAACCGTTTTAAAAGCACTTTGATTGCAACTCCTCCCTGTTCAAAAGAATTAGAAAGGCATCCTTAGCCACGGTTTATAAGCGAGGAAATTGACGTTGTCTAATAGTGTGAGTCTTCCTGAGCTTGACAAGTGACTCTATAAATATACTTTTAAGTGTCTGTATGTGTCATGCTCCGGGAAGATGGAATTGCTGCCCCTTTCCTAAATTGTCATAACCTAAAGTGGATTTAGGGCTTCATAGAATCTACCAAGCACACTTTGGGTTTATTATTAATTAGTGAAATATTATTGATGAAATTCCAAGGGAACTGACGTTTAGGGGGACTTCTACAGGGCTGAATGAAATAAAACTATCTTGTATGCCTCAAAACAATAACTTATGTTTAATTTTTTTGTTAGAAATATACTTCTTTTTAAAATTATTGGCTTTGAAATCAAAACATCCTCATCTGAAAAAGTTTTCAGTGAGCTGGAACAGAATAAATAGTTCCATTTTCTTTGGAAGCCTCAGTGTCCAACTACTAAGTCATTTCTTTCCAGTTTGAAGAGGACCTATGTTGAAGATGTCACAACAGTCTCTGGTATTTCTTGATTCCAGAGTCTTTAGTAAAGAAGGCAAAATTTTCCTACCACATACGTGACCCATTTTTGGTAATGCTTTTCTTTGACACCTAGGTACCAACTTTCTTCCCATTGCTCACTGTGAGAACCCTTAACCATAGCACCTCATTCAAGAGCATTTATCTAGTCAAAACTTCATTTCCCACAATAGGTTTAGTTCACCCTAGGAAGAAAGTTGGTCATCATTAAACCAGTTCATAGAATATGGGGGTGAGGTCTGTATATGAGGAGCTCCTTTAACCCAGACACATCTTTAAATGCCACAGTGAACTTAATTTGCTGGGCCCTAACAGTATTTACTTAAGTTTATTAAGATGCTATGCTTAGAATCTCAGTAAGAGCTCCTGTTTTGTACTCTGGGTCTCTTAAAGCTTTGTTGTATTTGGTCTTTATCTCTGGCATTTCCTGGTAGCTTGCCTTCTGTGTATCCAGAACAGTATACTTATTATATTCCCATCACACTCTAGGAAGGTGGGAGAAAGATATAGCAAAATAGAGGTGTGACTTGAGACTGAAAGAACAGTTGGGTATGCCATTTATAGTGAGTATGCATACATGTGAAGGATACACGGATAGTGTTAAGGTCCTAGAGACTACTCTAGCTGTCATAGAATTGTTTAGGGGAAATGAGCTTCCTTGGAAAGTATAGTTTGAAGTTTAAACTGAATGTTAGACTTTGCATACTAAAAAATAGTTTCATATTGAGTAAGAACACTGACATTTCAGCTAGGAATGTGGAAAAGTGACTGTTTAGTTCTCAGACATTTTAAATGTTTAGGAAAAGAAGGAGGATCATTAACTTAGATCAGAAATACTTTGTTTTGTTCTGAATGATGGCACATCATTGACATTTTCTGCATTTTGAGGTATTAGGAAATTGGATAGGGGAACAAAATGTCATTAAAATTCAGGTAGATAGCTCTTAACTTTCAGTGTTCTGTATTCTCAGTTATGATTTTTCTGTACCTGTGACTATGCCTTTTTTTAATTAATTTTTTATTTGTTTTAATTAGTTATACATGACAGTAGAATGCACTTATATACTTTGATATATCATACATAGATAGGATATAATTTCTGAGTATATATATATATTGTAGAATCATATTGGTCATACAGTCACATATCTACATAAAGTCATAATGTCTCTTTCATTCTACTATCTTTCTTATCCCCACATCCCCTGCCTTCCTCGTGACTATGTCTTTTTACATCCTAAAAATAAATAGATTATTTTTTTTTTTGAGAGAGAGAGAATTTTAATATTTATTTTTTAGTTTTCGGCGGACACAACATGTTTATTTGTATGTGGTGTTGAGGATCGAACCCAGGCCGCACGCATGCCAGGCGAGCGTGCTACAGCTTGAGCCACATCCCCAGCCCAATAAATAGATTATTAAATAAAGTAAAACAGATTGATGTAGGTTCCTTGTTACCATAGTATTCTGAGGCTTTCAGTGTTTTTTTGTTTGTTGTTTTTTTTTAGATTTCAGAACTAATATAGTGGCTGTATCAGAGATGTTCAATCCTAAATTACTTCTGGACACTGATCTGTTATCTATACAATAATAATAGAAATGTCAAGCCTTTCCCTCTAATAGCTTGTATTTTCGTTAGCCTCAGCTCCTTCTATTTCAAATGAGTGATATCAAATCAAATGAGTGATTTGAGGGAAGAATATGAGTATTTCCTGACAGCATCAAAAAAGAACAGGTTTAGGGGGCTGGGGATATAGCTCAGTCGGTAGAGTGCCTGCCTCACATGCACGAGGCTCTGGGTTCAATCCCCAGCACCACTACCAAAAAAAAAAAAGAATAGGTTAAACACTTTTTGGTTTGCTTTTTAGGAGATAAGTGGGATGGTGGGTAAATAAGTACTGAAAATATATAGCAACTTCAAATCCCTCCTCTGACTTCCACAAAGAGCACACGGTTCGAGGAGGTCTGGATAACTGCAGACCTCCTTTCCAGTTTTTAACATTCTGTTAGAGTCTAGGTACTCTCTGAATTAGGGAGATTGATTAAGCTTAATCCACAAACTGTTTTCCTGTTGGGATTTGCTTTTGGTCTTTTGTCTGAGACAACCATATTATACTTGGGGGTCATTATGGAATCTCTTGTTTTCACAAATGAAAATAGATAAGTAGGGCTGGGTTTTTTATATATATATAAAATATTTTTATTTTATATAAAGTAAAAGTTAATGTTTGCCTTCTTCCCAAAACAATAAAAATATTTATGAGAAATGATTAAGAGTATAAAATAATTCTGATTTAAAAGGTTAGAATTTGAGTTAAAAATAATAGGATCAGGAAATGGAAGGGAGGCCCCATTTCAGTAGAGACATTTGTTATGTAGGGGGAAAAAGTCTATTATCTAAACCAAATGTGGTGGTTGAGGCAAGAGGATTGAAATTTGAAGCTAGCTTAGGTAATTTGTCTTCTCCCAAAATAAATTTAAAAATTTTAAATGACCTGAGAAATGATGAAGAGTATAAAGCAATTATGATTTAAAAGGTTAAATAACCATGTGTGAGGCTCTTGAGTTCTAGTCCTAGTACCATGAAAATAAATAAAATTTTCATGGGGCATGGTGGCACACACTAGTAATCCCATCTATTTTCAGCTACTTGGGAAACTGAGGCAGGAGCATCGAAGTTCCAGGCCAGCTTCTACAACTTACCAGGACCCTGTCTCAAAATAAAAAGTAGAAAAGGCTGAGGATGTAGCTCAGTGGAAGAGCACTTTCCTAGCATATGTAAGGCCCCAGATCTATCCTCAGTACTGCAGACAAAACAAAACGAAACAAAAAAGCTATTGAACTTTATATGAACTCAGTGCTTCTGGTGGTACTCTTTAGAGGGGGATTCTTTCTGCTTTTAGTAGCCAAGAGTCTCAAGAATGTTTTTGTTAACATTTCCTCTCTTCATTCAGTTTTTACATGTCCAAATTGTAACGTTGGGTGCTTTCTCTCCATTAATATATGGGTAGGTTATTGGCAGCTAGTTGGTTTCCTTTCTGTTTTTATGCAAGAAACAACTACCATTAGGTGACATAGATTAGATCATTTTTTTTCCTTTTAATTTTTCAGTGGCTGGCTCATAAACCAGACAGTCACAAGTGCTGTACACAAATGAGCTTACTGTCTCTATAGGATGGGATGCTTTGTTCTGAAGTGCCATTGAGATAAGCTTACTTTATAATAACAGAGAAACCTAGGAATAGTATCTTCTTTGGTTAAAAATAGTTGAGGGGCTGGGGTTGTGGCTCAGTGGTCTAGAGTGCTTGCGTAGTATGTGTGAAGCATTGGCTTGGATTCTTGGCACCGTAAATAAATAAATAAATAAATGTCTATCGACAACTAAAAAATGTTTAAAAAAGTAGTTGAGTAGTCATTATTTATTATTATAACAAAATTCTAACTTAACCTAATAATAAGGATCCACTGTTAATTGTTTATTTTTATAAATTTTTTAAGCTCTTTCTGGAGACAGATTGCTATTCTAAGGGGCATTTTATTTAGACTGACAATTTAATTGGATTTTACCCCTGACAAAATGAAGGGACACAAAGGAAAAACTGTGAATAAAATTTCACTTTCATAGACATTAGAAAATTCAAATATAGTGACAATGAATTACTAATTTCTGCTTATTAAATTTTAAAAGAAGATAATATTTAATTCAGGGGAATATGTAGAAAGACAGATATATGACTAATAGCAACATAAATTGGAAAGCTTTTCTCTAAAGTAGTTTGGCAAGATATTTAAAATGTTCATACCTTTTCCAAAGGTGAGGGAAGTAGGAAATTATTGCT